CTCAAAACCACTTATGAGTGGAAGAGAAGTACAACTCCTGGTTAATGTCAGCTCCATTCTTTATTATTTCAATGAGCAGGAAATCAATAATAATCACTTACATTCTTCAGGTAGCCTTTTCAAGCTAACTTTATGCAAAAATATACTTTCTGAAATTATAAGGACACATATTGCTTGCAAGTATAAAAATCTCCCAAAAGATCGTACCAAAATACTGTTCACATCATAAATGATTTAGCTTAGTATTTTTTAAACATAGTAAAGAGTCATTTCTGGTTAAAATTCAGACTTTGTAACGGTTCAGAGGAGGATTTCCTTTTACAAATTGAATCCATAAGCAATGAAACACACCACTACTTCATGTATTACACTGGATTTGCTGCTACAGTCTTACTTGGTCTGATATGAGCTGTTGGTATAGCTTTTGGTTGCTAATGTTAGAAAACTTTAGCAAAATATTGCTCTACAGTATAATAGATTATTATTAAGCTGATTTTCTGACTTTTGCTGATGTGTTAGCCAGCATTTATCTCATTATTAGCACTGGGGCAACAGTGGTTACAGATTGCCGAAAGTTACACAGTCTCTTTTATGTAAATAACGGAGTACAAAAGTAGCTTCAATATAAGATATGTGCACACACTGTAGATGCAAAACGATCACCTTCAACCACCATCTCAAATCTGTTCCAGTGGACTGTGGGACTAATATGTCCATTGCTCACACTGCAGCTAATATCGATGTGTTTTTGCAAGTTTAAATAGTCATTTTTGCAAATCCCATCTGAAAATCCCCAACACTGCAAGTCCAAGGGTGATCCAAGCCTTCTGCGGCACAACAGCTGATGCATCATTTATTTGTGAAAGGGTGTTGATCGTCTCAGTGTTTTTATTTGTATCTGGAATCATTTGCTCTGTAAACTGGTACGTTTTCACCACTTTGGTGTCGTCTTTCTCTTTGGAAACACACTCGTAGCCGCCATAGTTCTCGTGTGCCAAGGCAGGAATGAGGTGCAGGCAGTTAGACTGCATACAGTCCAGTTTGGGAATCAGTGTCACCATTGTACCCTTCAGGTGTTCAGGGGCCTCACATACAATTGATTTTGGCTCTGGGATGGAAATCTTAGTTGTCGTGATCCAATCCCTCAGCCACTCCAGGCTGCAGGAGCATGTGAAGGGGTTGTTAAAAATCTGTAGGTGAGACATGGAGGAGAGAGCACTGAAGGTACCCTGCACAATGGTGATAAACTTGTTGTTGTTGATGCGCAGCGACCGTAGGTCTTTGAGAGTGGAAAAGGCGTCCTTTGGAAGGTTCACCATCTCATTGTTGTTCATTTTCAGAAGCTGCAGGGCTGTGAGGTTGTGCAGATCCTCCCAGGGAAAGTTCACGATTTTGTTGTAGCTGATGTCCAGGTTGCGTAGCTGGATCAGGGGGGCCAAGGAGTCGGTTTCTATTGTAACTATCTCATTGTGGGCCAGCCAGAGAGAGGAGACCTGTGTGATACTGATGAAGCTTTTACTTTTCAGTAATTTGATCTTGTTGGCAGAAAGGCTCACAGTGGTAACATTGGTGGGGAGACCCACTGGTACCACCAGCAGGTCTTTGTAAGCACAGTCAGCAAACTGGTGGGCAAATTTATCCTGGCAGCTGCAGAGCTCTGGACAGCACTGCACATTGCCAACCACAGTTGTCCACAAGGCAAGGAGCTGCAGGAGCCGTCTCGCCATTTTCTGCACCTGCAAGCATCAATTGTCAGACATTAACGGAAGGTCAAATTGTATCCAGACAATAACATAATATCCATTACAGCAGCGGAAACGCACTGTGGAAGCTTTTACATTCCATATTCACTCAAATATGTTTTATTGAGTAGGTTGTTTTTTAAAGGGCAATCAAAGCACGGTAATGCAGCTCAAAGTTGCATTACAAACTCGTAAAATGAAAGAAACAGAAAACAAAAACAACCCTATGAATACTGCTGTCATACAATATGATTCAATGCATAACATGCAAAGCTTCCTGTTGTTTCACATGGTACTTTAACCAATGCACTGCACTAAAAAGACATTTGTGGAAGTCCGAGCACGTTAGAAAAGCATAAATGCACATTTGCTGAGTGTCATATTTGCAGCAATTTCAGGGTCATGTGGTCTCTCCTGCTCTGAGCGCGTCTCCATAATACTGTGCGGACAAACGCGCTTTTTTGGTGATAAAACCTTAGATTTTTACAGTTAATTAAACAAAAACATTTCACTTTTAGCAAGAGTTGAATGGCATAATTTCCAATGTCAATTTACATAGAGGTAGATTTTGCGCATATATGCCCTTGTGATGTATCAGTTACAATTAACCTACAGGGCGATGCTTTCCACATTAACTGAGATCTGGATGCTTCTTTTTTCATCCTTTACCGACAGTAACTGCCCCATTAACTACTGAATCATCTTACCTTTCCAATTTTAACTTCAATTCCTGTGTCTTATCAATCACTTCCCGGAGTTTACAATCCTCTTAAACAAGTTTAATGGCCGAAAAAACTCGAGTCCTCGTATGTAGTGGATCCTTTCACATGACTTTTGCAGACGTCGACAGCGTTGATGAAGGGCGGTGGAGGGAACATTTTTTTCCCCGGTGAGTTGCTGTTGACGTCCGACGGCGCTTTTTTCCTCTCCAGCTAAGTGTGGGATTCACTGCGCGTTCCCGACGCCACGGAGCGAGAAAAGGAGCCGTGAACGCGCAGCCTCTCCCATCTCTGTCCTCACTATTAAAGATACAGATGCTCCGGGTCCTCCATCCTCAAAGAAAATTAATAATTTAGGATCCGATGTTTAATTTATTACCCCGACCCAAGCCTAATCTTTGACCTCATTCGGGTTGGCTGCAGCCTATTGTCTTTAATTGAAGCACAGACGAGAGTTTCCAAACACACCGACAGGTTTTAAGTCAAGTGGTGCTGCGAGCACTGTGACTAAAGACACAATTTCCATCACTGCTGCATTAAATTAATTGTACTTTAAAATTAAACGAAAACAACAACAACAACAACAAAGAAGCAAATAAACAGACAAATAAACAGACAGGAGGCTGAATTCAGAGGAGTCCAGTGAGATAAGACACATCATCTTGACCCACATCAGATGCAGATCATTTGATGGCTTTTCATCATGTTATGTGACGTGACGCCAAAATTGATTTGTAAAGTTTAGTAATTGTGTTACGACCGGAAGTAGCATAGAAAGCTAATAGATTAGAAACCTCGTGACCTAAACCTCGAATGTGTAATTTTTTTAATCTTAAATAGTTTTCAATCGTGCTGATTAATCCACTGGTTTGTTTTAGATGTGACTATGACTTTAAGTTTATTATTTTTTAAATGAACATTATAAGTCTTAATTGCTCCTTAAATGTTTGAGTCATATGGATTAGTGTTACAGTCTGAGGAGACTTATTTCCTGTTCAAATACTGCCATCGTCTGGTGTACTGTAGTGTGAACTCGGTGTCAGTTCAAACAACAAACCACTTGGCCACAGCGCGCGTGTGTAATATACAATATCAAATTAGTGACGGATCTCAAGACTCAGCCTCTGCCTTCTGATGTTTATTTTAATTTCATATGTTTGACTTACTACAGGCTGAAATTATTTTTATTTAATTAGATCAGTATATCTGATGTATTGATGTGGGCAAAGTTTGATGGACTTTCAGTGTAACTTTGACTGCGTTCTGTGTTACAGTATGTTGTTGTTAATCATTGTGATATGTTTGTTGTTCTCTGATATTGTAGAAACCACACACGCCAAGTGTCTTGTGGTGACTTTGAAAGATACTCTCTTGATTTGTTTAACTGAAGCTCACATTAACTTCATGGACTCTGGAACAGAAAGGGAGAAATGATTATGGCAAGCTACAACAGTTTCAATGTATAAATAGGCTAGTGACTATTTTAAGACATATTTGGAAAAAGGGTTTAGGTTTAGGTTCAGTTTAGGGTAAGAAGGGTTTTTATAGTTAGTCAGACCTGTGAAACAACAGTGACCCCTCCTGTCAAAAGGCTGCAACTACAGGCAGAATCTGAATAATTCCTGTAAACATGCCACTCCTGTTTGACAACAGTCACCTCTAATGTCAGAATGTTGTAATTACAGACACAATCTGCATAATAATTGCACAAATAACAACCCTGTAAATAAATTGTACAGTTTATTCTTAGAAATAGTGATCATATTTTGGATAATGTTAATTTTCTGTGTTATTTTCAGTTCTAAACCAGCTTCCAGGCTCCAGTCATGAACCATTACTTGGGTGTCCTTGCTTAAAACAAAGTTTTGTTCTTGTTTGTTTCTGTTCCAAGATTTCCTTATCTTTGGCGGTCCATCAGTAGATTTTCCTTTTCCTGAGGCACAGCAGGAAAACATGGGGATGTAAATTGTGGTCTAGGTTCTCTGGGGCTCAAGGTCTATTTGGGCTCATATCAGATCACAGCAGAAGCACCAGAAGCTCACGGTCACCGTAACTCACAGTTGAGACTACAGTGTGGCACAATCTGGACTCAGGGGGGCTGTTTACAGTTTAGAGTTATTGATACTCTCAGTGCTTCTTAAAGCAGGCTTACATAAAAACACATCGGTGATGCTACAGTAAACCATGTTGCCTCCAGTTTGAGCAAAGAGGGTCTGGATTGAATAAAACAAGGTGGCTCAAACAATGACTCATGTAGACCACAGATACATGAAAACACATGTTACATCTCCACCTTATACGAGTAAGCTTCTCAGCAGCCTACAGGTTAGATAGACTCTGGCACTGAGCTGTCAGGTCAGGTGTCGGGTCAGCTCCGGCTTAAGACAGATACTCCCTGATCTTCATTAAAGTGACCTGCCAGCAAGACGCATGTACTGGGGGGGGGGGGCATCTGTAGTTATGTTGTTACCTAATCTGAAAGAAAATCTGACAAGAATGCAGGATTTCCACTCAGATGGTTGTGGAGGAATGGCCAGAGAGATAATGTTTATTTGTGATTTTTTTAAACAAGATGTACTCACATCGTTGACGTCATTAGCAGCGTTGAGACCATGTTGAGGCTGTCGATCCAGAAATAAGACCATTTAAGCTGAAGATCCTTGGTTGTTGATACTGTGATCAGGCTGCCTGTGCTTTATTGCAGGGTGTCACGTCACGAAGGCATGACCTACTAGGGAAGAATAAACTATTCTCTCAAAACCACTTATGAGTGGAAGAGAAGTACAACTCCTGGTTAATG